TAGCCCCCCCCCCCCCAAGTCAACTCTTTCCTTTCGAGTTCCGTAACAAAATTCAGTATACCTTTCCCATCTCTCCCAGTCTTCCCTATTTCAAAAGTAAAACTTTAAACCTTATGATTGTTTAATTCTCTCAATCTTTCTGTTATTCGTTTCACGTAGGGATAAACATTGTCCTCAGCTCATTTATTTTAATAGCCCTCTTCCCTTGAAATGGAAATCCAACGACATCCATACAAAGTAACGGATAAAATTAATGCATAGGGAACATGAGATAATTTTAATTCAATCATATTCTGGTATTGAATCACAACTTTACTCCTTCTGAGTCTTATAAATACTGCCTGTGTTAGAAGAGAGACTCGGAGAATCCCAGAGTCTAGAGAAAAAGTAACTTTTCATTTTACTCCCGTTGAAACCCGCACAGAGTGTCGAAATTTCAGTAACATTCTCTCACAGATTGAGTTTCAAAAAGTAAACTCATTATGCGAACCTTATCTTCTGGACACATTCACTGTTTCCGATAGACAGACTGTCGGATGTCGGTGGAACTGAGTCCCAAAGGTAGTCATAATGGAAAACGGCACCCACCGGACATCAGCTAAGCCTTTTGACACATTTAATCTAAGTACAAATAAAGGTAGGTGGTTAGTGTTAACACAGTGCTACTTGTTATCTATCCGATTCAGATGTATCGTGGTTCATGTTAAGTACAAGACAAAACATGACGCTCCATAATTATTAGTTTTCCCTTACCATTTCGTAAATGCTATTTTAAATCACAGGTTTGTGAGGGGTCAGAGTTTGTTGACATGCAATAGCAAAAAGTCAGAAGCATTTTAACAAGTAATTTCTATACGAAACAAATACCCGAGTATGGACCAGTAAAGCTACAGAAGTGAACAAGAAAATTATTAACAGGAATGTTATTACAGTTTACTTTCTCGTATAATATATACAGACCTGTGTTAAAACAATGTATTTCTCGATTTTAAGACGCCATTGATTATAAGACTAACCCTTGATTCAGTAATAGGTTTTCAGGACAAAATACTCTTTCTCGAGTCTTATTATTATTATTATTATTATTTAGTGTTCTGTCTGACGACAGGTCCATATGAACAGGATCCTTCCATCCTTTTCTCGGACTGGGACCTGTTCATATACGTTCTTGGCAGATGATCCAGAAGTGGTTTGCCATTACCTTCTTCTGTGTGTGAATGGATTAATTGTTGGGATGCCACGGAGAAACCGGGGAAGCCCCCGGAGGGAAACTCCGTGTTGCCTAGACCACGGCCTTGCCCACCACAAGTTATAAATTCGGGCACCGTCGGGAATCGAACCCGAGACCCCAGGATTACAAGGCCAACGTTCTAACCGCTAGACCACCGTGGCGAGTCTTAGACGCCATTAAATGAAAGAAGTACCCCGATTTCAGAAATTTTAAAATGTGAAAAGATGTGTCTTAAAAACGAGGAAATGTGGTATATGAATCAGTTGCCGAGGTTTATGAGGCCAGAATCATGGCAGATAAGAGAGGACCAGATAAACAACAACTAGACGGCAGTTAATTACACACAGTCTGACAGAAAAAAATTTATCATAAAAGAAAATGGTAAATAATCATCACAAGAACGGTTGACAAAAGACGCATTCATCACAACAACTGAGAGGAAAGATGGAATCGGGCAGACCCATAAGGATTTGCGGAAATCCACACAGAAATTATATTTATGTTATGAGCGGTTAACATTCGAATAAAAAACAAAGCGGATAGAATATAATTGCTCCCTCCCCTGGCTTAAGGCCATTAATTTATCGGTACGTTCTGGGTTATTTTATTTCCAGTCACCCTAACTGTTCTCGCCAGCGCGTCGACTCCCGATTCAATTCCTGAATGCCGAAATGAATCTGATACAGTTAACAGGGATTGCTCTGTTGTGAGCTGCCGCAGATCGCCGCGGCAACTTCTCCGACTCTACTACTTAGCGTGTAGTCTAATCGAAATGCTGCAGGCGAACCAGTAAGTTGATCAAAGTAGAAAGTTAGTATGTGGTTACAATAACAACTTAATGATATGGTTGCAATGTTTGGGACGTAGCTCAGATCGTTGGCTTCATGGACTCTGATGGTTCATTACCACATTTACAAAACCTCGGCATCTGACCTTATACTGAACCAAGTAAATTGATTCAACAGCTTCTCTAGCATAACCTAACCTAACCTACATCACCTACAGACAAAAGGTCTGTAGGTGATGTCTGTCATCTGGGTTGTTGCGCCGTGCAGTCTGGTAGAAGTTTACCGACGTTTCGGAGGTCCTTGCTGCCTCCATAATCAGGGCGATGACTCAACGTTGGTAAATTTCTTGCAGACTACAGGGCTCCACAGCCCAGAATACGGCCATCTCGAAAGGAAGACCAAATTTTACACCCATACAGAACAACAGATTGGCTGTTATTGAGACTAGATATACAAGTTGTACCAACAGTTGTATTGCTTCACATTATTTTATTTGGAAGACATAGATCTGAAAATACAATGTTCTCCCTGTAAGTAAAATCTTAAACTTGTATAGAGAGACATACAAGGGACGTGAAAGGAGAAGATCCAATTAAAATTCACCTCTAATTACAGCCTGAAAATAGAACAAACCCATGCCACTTCAAGAACATCATTCAAAATGTGGACGGATTATCGATTTTCACTTGCAACGGATACGAGAATTCTAATTTCTCTACAGGATTTTTTGTTTTCTATTTATATGGCTCTGTAGTAGTTTAAAAAAATATTTGTTTTTCTACATGTATTTTAGCTTGTTATGTGTGATAATAACTGCACTTTACGAGTACTGAACCCCAAAATAATTTGGTATTGAAGAGGCAATGCTTGTGGAAGTTTTGAACATCACGGTATCCTCTTGTGTTTTAGTACGCAAGTTAAAATCGTTGTCAAGTAGATGGAAAACGTAAGCTGTACTTCAAAACACAACCAACGAATAAACGAGAATACGATATATTTCTTTTCGGGAAGTTTTAGATTATTCGCCAAACATTTCACCCAATGTAATTTCGAAACACACGATCTACATTAACAGATTTATACTGAGTAGTCTTACAGAGTTAGATGAAATTTTATATGATTTACTTTTATCATAGGTCTATGGGTATCTCTGTTGTGATATAACTTTTTAATATATTTAAACCAGGGGTGGCCAACCCAAATGATCTTTCGGGCCACTTTGGAAATGCATCATAACTCCGCGGGCCACATATGAATATATGGATGCACAAATAATGTAATTTGTTTAATACATTGGTTTTCACTACTTTGGCCATTATAAAATAAATATATTTTGTAAAAGTGTGATGAATCTCGCGGGCCGGAAAAATGTTCAAGGCGGGCCACATGCGGCCCGCGGGTTGGCACCCCTGATTTAAACGATACTATACTTAAGGAGCTAAATACATTTTTTGCAAAGTATTTACCTTAAAGGAAAACGCTTTGAACAAAATTTGTTATGCGCTTGTAGAACACATAAACATATATCAGAAATCATTTGCATAAATATTACTAATTTTGATAAATCACCAGCATAACAACTCCTATTAAGTGTGAGCCAGCGAAATAAAAACAAAATGCGATACATCGCCAAGTAAAAGGGTTAATATGCCGGAGGGACTGTGACGTCAGCGGGCTAGTGTAACAGATGAGATGTCAGTTTTTCTCTTATCCTATTTTGTGTCAACAACAGCCGGAAAAGAAGAAGCAAGCAAACGAGAAGGATGTTCATAACAGGACAGGGACAACAACTCGTGCGCCTATTTTTACCTTGAGGTACCAAAACCGCAGTAAAGTATAGAGCACAACGTGCTGGCCACATGTGGCCTTAAATACCTTACTTTCTGATCGTTTACGAAGTTCTATAAATTGTGGAAATCTCCCTCTATCAGAGTACAAAAAAAATGTATAAAATTGATGTAGTAAATCATTTCTGTATCTTAGTCTGTTTGGAAATAAGAGATTGTAATAGCTTCTAATTTTTTTTTTATTTGTAGTGTTCTGTCTGACGACAGGTCCATATGAACAGGATCCTTCCATCCTTTTCTCGGACTGGGACCTGTTCATATACGTTCTTGGCAGATGATCCAGAAGTGGTTTGCCATTGCCTTCTTCTGTGTGTGAATGGAGTAATTGTTGGGATG